GCCGATGCATTGGCGATGCGTTTCGATGTGGAGCGCGATCTTCTTCACGCGGATGGCGCCGACTCGTCGGTGACGTCGTCAATGCATCGGCGATCGTGCGGGCGCCAAGAATATGCCACCACATTCAGCCCCCATCCCCTCCTCCAGCCTCTTCTTCCACTCCTCCTCTCCTGGGAGAGGACGTGGGGTGAGGGAAGCGGTGGCAGTGTATACATATCCTTGGGCCCTGCACATCGGCGATGCAGCGGCGATGCGGCGCCATTCTCGGGCGGGGCCAGGAGCTAGGACGAGGATGAATCCGCTCCAGAGCGTTCCCGACCGCGCTCAGAGCGTTCTGGAATGCTCTGAGAAGGCCGCTGCGCCCGAGACATCCTTCAGAGTCGCCGGATCTCAGAGATTCTCTATTTCTCCTCACCCGATTTTATCCTCGTCGTGGCTTAGCCTTACATCCTCCGACCCCATCCGCTCGGACCCCACTTGGGAGGCCTCCTCCCTCTGGGGTCCGAGCAGATGGGTTCGGGGCATCGCGCCGCATCGCCGATGCATCTGCGATGCGGCTCGATGCAGAGCCCGATCTTCTCCACGCCTACGTCGCCGCTGCACCGTCGCCGCCGCCGATGGGTGCGTCGGCGATGCATCGGCTCGGCGACTTGGATCCGTCACCTGATGCGAATCGGAGGATGGTAGGAGGAGGAGGAGGCGGAGGAGGAGGCGGAGGAACGAGTAAAGAGGAGGAAGAGGAGGGGGATTCGGTGGGGATGGGGGGAACTTCGCCTCGCGTGACGAAGTCCCTCTGCCCATCGGCGATGCGGCGGCGACGTGGCGCCGTCCCCCGGCCCCACCCGCTCGGACCCCACTTCGGGAGGCCTCCAGGCAGGCACCGCGCGGCCGCGGCGGCCGCGGGCGGCGCCCTGGCGCGCGCGGCTCGGCTGCGGCGCGCGCGCGGCGCGGGCCCCGCCCGCGCCGCCTGGCGCGGCCCGGGGGGGCGCCGGCTGGAGCTCGGGGATGACGACAAAGGCGGAGGGCTTGGCATCGCTCGGGCGTGTGCTCCTTTTCTCGGCGGGAATTGTTGAGGAGCATCCTGGATCATCCTGCGAAAAAAAGCCACGCACGGAGCCGAATCAAAAGCACAGGGAACGGACGTCCGAGCGATGCCCGGCGAAGTGGGGGAAGAGGTCGGGGCAGCGTTTCGGATTCGAGTCCGAGGTCTTCTGGCGCTGCCGTCGGCTCTCGTCCAGCCCGCGGGGGTGCCTCCCAGCGGCTGTGCCTCGACGAGGGCGTTCTGGATGTGCCTGGATCGATCGTCCCGAACGGCCGCCGAGGACCCGAGTGACGACTCGAAGACAGGACGACGAGGATCACGGGGGGGGATAGGCTTAGGGTTAAGTCGGGCGTGTCCCTCTGCAGGAGGAATATTCAAAAATAGCCCAAAATTGTCAGGGGACGATTTTTTGAGTTTTTTGTTTTACATTTGTTGTTTAGGTTTGTTTTTGGCTATTTCTGATTGTTCGCCCAAGATCCGCCTGTAGGGGGACCTGACCGACCCAAGCTTAGGGGGGGATGCATCGACCTCCGATCGCCCATTTATCGCCGATAGGGGCCCGATGGGCCCAGGAAGGTGTGGATTCACTGTCGGAGGCCTCTCGCCGATCTATCGGCGATGTATCGCCGATTCCATGTCGGTGTGTCCCCTCCCCCTATGCTTCAGTCGGGCGTGTCCCTCTTCAGGAGGAATATCCAAAATAGCAGAAAATACCGTGGAGACATTTTTTTATTATTTTTGTTTATGTCGGTGCATTCTATTTCAATTCTTTCGCCCAAAATCCGCCTGTCGGGGGACATGCCCGACCTAACCCTATGCCAGTCCCCCCCTGTCGTTGCCCCTCAGGAGCTCCTGCAGGGGGACGCCCTGGAGACATGGCGAGCGTGGGGCGACGCTCGGTCGCCCTCCTCCTGCGGGTCGGGCGATCCCTGAGATCCGTGGCAACGTTCTCTTCGTGCTGGGCAATTTCGCCCAGGTGCGGGTTCAGGGACCCTCACAGGTCGATCCCGCGCGAAACATGGCGCAGAGAGATGGGGACCAGGTCTCCTCCGCGATGTTGCAGGATGTTGCGATTGTCTCACAGTTTCGGCTCTCAGGCAAGCTGCATGAACAGAGCTTTCGGAGGTCCGCGCTGATTTCTCGGATCTGCTCTCGACCCCCCTGGTGTCGCCTCCAGCGCCGCCCTTGGCGCGCTCCTCGCGCCAGGGAGGGGGATGTCCGGCGCCGATCCGGGAATTCCGCGCGGAGCTCTAGAAGCGTATGCTTACGCGGTCTGTCACCACGCACCAAGCCACCCCGACCCAACCCGAAGGCTTCAATTTGCCCTCCATTTCCAGTAGGGCTGGGCCGGGGAACGCTACAAAATCACACGGAAACCCGTACCCCCCCCAACCCGAAATTCGGGTCCAATTCGGGTCTTCGGGTTGGGTTGGGTTGGTCTGGTAGGTAGTCAGCCTGATGATTTTTGTTTAGAGTGTGGAGGATTGGGGCAGCCCGTTTACTATTTAGTGCGCTGAGCTTGATTCCGAGAATGTTTTTTTTCTTCTGGGAAGACCGTTTCAGAGCCCGTTTCTTTATTGCTTGGGGCATGACGGGCGTCATGGCCCCCGCTCCCCCCCCTCCCTATGACGTAACGCTCCCCTCCCCAGTGCACTCCGGGCACTGCCGCCGTGCGCAAATCCGTGGCTGCTAATAGCAGCCACAGATTTGCCAGCCCTCGTCCAACTTCCCAATGTGGAGTATTGAGGGCAGGCGGGGCAGCGAGGTCTGCTGCACGCAGCCGTTCTCGGTCCCACCGCTGGGCGCCGCATTCGGTGCACTGGCGCCGGGAGGCGCTGGGCACACTGGATGCGCGAACTGAATCGCCCCCCCCCTGGCCCCCTTTTATACTCCTCCTCCCTCCCCCTCCTCCTCCTCCTCCTCCTCCTCCTCCTCCTCCTCCTCCTCCTTCTCCCCCCTCCCTCCTCCCTCCCCCTCCCTCCCTCCTCCTCACTCCTCCCTCCTCCCTCCTCCCTCCTCCCTCCCCTCTCTCCTCCCTCCTCCCTCCTCCCTCCTCCCTCCTCTCTCCTCCCTCCTCCCTCCTCTCTCCTGGTCCCCCTCTGCATCGAGCACTCCCCCTCCCGTCCGGCCCGACCTCTGCTGCGTCTCGTGCACGCTGCCCGTGCAGCTCCGGTCGCCACCCGCCGAGGACAGCCCAGCGGGGGTTCGCCCGGCTGCCGACCTCCTTGAGATTCGTCCCCCCCCCAGCCGGGGTTTCCAGGATCTGACTGGCGCGTGTATCAGAGGCGACGGTAAGGGGCGGATAGGCCAGGGGAGAGCAATACATGTATTCAGGTGTGCCGATGGTCCATGTCTTCGAAGAGGCTCCTGGGCGAATGCGTGTAATGCCCGCCCCATGGGCTATTCGCCCCTAGCGTCGCCGCCGAGGGTAGGGTTGACGTGCTGTTCCTTATTGTTTGATCGGTTGGCTCATTCCGCTGGCCATTGCTGCATCAATCGGTACGTCGGAAACCACAGTGGGTGAGAGTGTAAGGCCCCCAGGGGCGACACCAAATGCACGCGGAACAGAGCGTTCCTGTATGGACAGCGGGGGCGTCTGGTGGATTCACGGAAGTCTTTGGGTTGTTTCTGGGGTCTCATAGGGCGTGTTTTAGCGGCTTCTGGGGGCTCGCAGGGGCCTTTCAGGTTCTGGAGTGGGACATATGGGCCACGTTGGGGTTTTGGGACCACCTTGGGTTGTGATGCCCAATTCTCCTTGTTCTTTATAAACGTGTCCACGCCTTTCTTGGCGCGTTGTCGGAGCTCTGTTGGGGATCTCTGTTCCAGCTTTTCTTGGTTCCGCTTGGGGCTATATCGTGGGCCTTGTCTGAGCCATCTTGAGGCCTCGCAAGCCAATGGAGGAAGCGACACGGAGAGAAATCCCAATTCAATGAGCTTCCTGGGGTCTATGACTGCTGTCTTGGATCATCCTGGACCACCTCGGGACAATTGTTGGGCCTTTCGGTGCTGTCTTGGGGGCATCTTGAGGTCTGCCACCTACGGACCTGCAGTCTTGTGCCGTTCCGTGGCATTCTGGAAGCTCTCGAGGGCCTCTCTTGTGGCGCTCGTGGGAGTCATGGAGCCCTTGCAGCCCCCAACTTGGAACCATCTTGGGCGACGTTGGAGCCGTCTTGAGGCCTGCCTGAGAAATCCATAGGTAGCAAAAAGGTGAGGACACATAGCTCATTGAACACACCCGGGAGGAGTGGGCCTTGCTGGCCAGCGCCGAGGAGGAAGCTCGACACCGACCAGAGGAAGCGATCGCCCACGTCTCGGCAGGGCGGGGGACACGGGGAAGCGATACCATCACCCTCCCGGCTTCGGGATGGGCAATGCCTCTCGCCCTCGAACGGCGCAGTCGGGTATGTTTAGTAGCAGGTCGGATTGTGGGGTCCCCGTGTGTCTTGTCCATCGTGTGTCATGTCTTCTTGATGTATGGAAGACGGGCCGCCCTCGGAAATGGCTTGGCGTCATTTGGGTGTCCTCTGCAGCCAGTCCCGACTGTATCATGAATATGAGTTTCGGATGGTGCTGTTGTCGTTGTTGCTGTTGGTGTTGTTATTGCTGTTGCTGTTGCTGTTGTTGTCGTTGTTGCTGTTGGTGTTGTTGTTGGTGTTGGTGGTGGTGTTGTTGTTGTTGTTGTTGGTGTTGTTGTTGTTGTTGTTGGTGTTGGTGTTGGTGCTGTTGTTGTTGTTGTTGTTGTTGTTGTTGGTGTTGTTGTTGTTGTTGTTGTTGTTGTTGTTGTTGTTGGTGTTGTTGATGGTGTTGTTGTTGTTGTTGTTGTTGTTGGTGGTGGTGTTGTTGTTGTTGGTGTTGGTGTTGGTGTTGTTGTTGTTGTTGTTGTTGTTGTTGTTGTTGTTGTTGTTGTTGGTGGTGTTGGTGGTGTTGTTGTTGTTGTTGTTGTTGTTGGTGTTGTTGTTGTTGTTGTTGTTGTTGTTGCTGTTGCTGTGGTTGCTGTTGTTGTTGTTGTTGTTGTTGCTGCTGCTGCTGCTGCTGCTGGCGGTGGTGGTGGTGTTGTTGTTGTTGTTGTTCGACAACTGTAGCCAGCAGGTGATGCGACGGTGGTGTTCTGCAGCTCGCTCTGCTTTCCAGACGACGTGCGGGGCTTAGCTCCCTAGGTTGTGGATACACTTGAAGGTGGAGGGGGAACTAGTTCGAGGTCAGTGGTGGCTGGCTCACCTCCCCCTTCTGGCCGCTGCATTGCTTTCCTCACCCCGAATCTCTCCCCTGCTGCCTCCTCCATCTGTGTGTTTGTTCGCAAGTGTCTCGACCTGCGCGCGCCCTCCCAGAGGCAGTTGATGGAGGCACGGGAGGTGTAGGCAGACACCGAGACAGAAGCGGAGGAGGAGGAGGAGGAGGAGGTGCCATCCAAGGGAGAATGAGACAGGATTGGAAAGGACAGGACAGGATGGTTTTCGGATGCAACTCCAGGGAGGATCATGGGGCAGGTATATCCTTGACCGACAGCCAGTCTCATTCTTACGAAGACTTTCCAGGCGTTGCCTCCTGACATCATTGGAGGACGGTGCTATGCTTGAGTGAACCTCGTGGGGGTCGTGCACGGCGGTCTTCGGCGGCGAACTTCGAACCCTACCCTCGCCGACCAACGATTCGGGTCACTCGATGGGCGGCGGGGGTAGGTGTCAGAATTTTCGTCGAACAGGTGGGGAAATCCGAACCCTACTCTCGCCGATCAACGATTCAGGTCACTCGATGGGCGGCGGGGGTAGGTTTCAGAATTTTCGTCGAACAGGTGGGGAAATCCGAACCCTACAGTCGGGGCCCTGAAGAAGGAATCCTTTTCGTTGGCGAGGGGCTCCGTGTTCCTTACTTGTTTCGCAGCTTGGCTTGGATTTTCCTTAGGTTTTCGATACGAAATCGAAGTTCAACTTATGGAAAATAGGGGCCTCGTTCCTTATTTAGGGTTCCTTAGGTCAACGCCTCGACTGTACCCCCGCCCCCCATCGATTCAAGAGAATCGATGCTTGGGGGGAGGGTAGGATTCGGACGTCGCCGCCTGGGTCTCTCGCCCGCAGAATCCACCTCAGGTCCTGGCGAGCCTGGCGGACCAGCTGGACGCGTGCCCACGGCTGCGCTGGGTGGCCTCGCTGAAGATGCTGCCGAGGTGCGGGGCTCTCGGAAGCAAAGCACATGAGCCTCTCAGGCATGGTCTCGCAATGCCGCCTTCAGAGTGCTCTAGTGCGCGCTGGCGCTTGGTAGTCGACGGGGAAGCGCCGACTGGGCGTCGATTCAGCGTGGGAGGCGCCCAGGAGTTGCCACAGAAGGGGAAGAGGGAGAGTCAGGGGCAACGTTAGGGGGGATGTTCGAAGGTTGAGGTTCAGAAGTTGAGGTTCGGAGGTTTTCGGACGTCTTCGTCTGCTCTCGGCGGCCGTCCAGCCTCGGATGCTTTCTTGCCACTGCGCCTCGTCGAGAGCGTTCCGAGAGTGCCCGGATCGTCCAGAACGGCTGTTGGAGAGCCGAGTTATGGCCCGAAAGCCAGGGGCAACGGTAGACTCAGGGGGGGCATCGACCCCCCGATCGCCCATGCATCGCCAATAGGGGCTTGACAGCCCAGCCCGCCCATGAACGTGCGGATCCGCTATCGGGGGCCTATCACCGATCTATCGGCGATGTATCGCCGAGTCCGTGTCGATGTTTCCCCCCTGAGCTGGTCCTCCCTGATCGTTCTCCTTTACTTGAGAGGAGAGGGAGGAGAAGCTTCCCGCCTTGAAGGACCAATGCGCACGTCCTGCCATGTTAGGGCCCGCAGTTCGTCCCGCGCGTCGGCTCCGTCACGAGCATCGGGCCTACCCTGAGGTACAGGGGGGGCCCATGCCAAGAGACACCCTGCTTGCCTCCAGTGTGCCCTGGGTCTCTTGGGCGTCGATGGCTTTGCGGTGGAAGGCGTGACGGTCCTGCGCCAACAGTCAATGGACGTCCTGGGGTCTCAGGGTTGGGCTTCTTGTGGAAGGTTCCTTGTGGACTAGCCTCCACTGTACAGTGAGCGGCTTGAATAAGGAACACTTACTTTTTAAAAGGGGTTCGGTGGTTCCTTCTTCTTGCATGCGTTATTTAATTCATTATTGTTCGTTCCTTATGCGTCATTCCTTGCGAAAAAATGGGATCCGTTCCTTATTGATCGTTCCTTAGGCCGATGGCTGTAGCCTCCACTGTATTGCTGCTGCGCGAAGTTTGCGATGCCGAGCAGCTGCATTTTCACAACGTTTGGCTTCGAAGGCTCCCGCCAGAGGCAAGGGGCAGCGGCTCCCTGGTGGCGTCGTCTGCATTACTCCCCCTGGTCCTCGCCATCATGCCTCATTGTCCTCTCTCCGCGCTCTCGCGACTCCTGTTCCTCCATGTTCGCTCTCCAGAACCCTCTTACTCCTTCATATCCCTGCTCGCCTTCTCCCTTCCAAAGGGTCACAAACTTGTGCCGGTAGCTACTCCGGATTCCATAAGAAAGTGTGGGGGGTCACATTTGGGGTGGGGTCTGATTTGAGCTTTCTTGGAGGGTTCGGGGGGGGTCTGGGCAAGGGGCCGCCCTTTCATGGATGGCCTGGGGGGGTCTAAAGCTTCTCGTCTGGGAGGGTTGCGACCCCTTCCCTTTTATTGCGAAATCTGGGGTAGTTCGTGTCGGTGGACATTGTCATTCCCACGATTCACGCATTCGTTCTCTTACCGGGCTCTGGGCCTTCAGGGTCGCGGCTGGAACAGGTCCATGGCTTAAGACACCATCGGCACCTTGCGGCTTTGGACTGGCGTGGCACCGCCCCTCCTCCGCGTTATGCCTTGGTGCCCGATCGAGCTGGAACTGGTGCTCGCGTGCTCGCGAGGAGCGCGCGGTGGTTCTCGTGGCGTAAACGCTCGAACAGTAGCAGCAACACGATCAGGAATGGAATCACGAAGCACACCGTACATGTGGGTGACAAATGGGACACCGTACCACACTTTGAGCACCGTGAGCGGTTCAAGAACTTATCCTGGGTTGGCTTATGGCGAATGTTTCTATCTTGGCGTGGTTGGTCTCCCCGACACGTCGTGCACGTGTCTCCCATTTGTCTGAACCTCTGCCCCGCTGCATTGTTCCTGCCCGCATTAACGCCCCTGCCTGCATTGTCGCGTGTCTCACACTGCAGATTTACGAGCCACTTGGCAGAGGCAGCGTCCACACTTCACGCTGGCCTCATTGAGTTGCCTCGTCGCTGGGATGTCCAGTCTCCCTTCCTCCTCGCAAATCGTTCCGGGGCGCTCTGGATCCGTCGGCTCGCAGAATAGCCCAGAAGCTGAGGTCAGGACCGATCAGCAGGGGCTCTGGTTTTCGGGCCGTTCCTGGGACCTGTTCGTGGCCGAGGCTCGCCGTGGCCGGAATCGCCCGTTCGCTGCTCGCGCTCCCCGTGGTGGCACGATGCTTGTGTCCGTGCCCGGATCTGCTCGTGCACATAGTTGCCTCTCGCGCTGGCAGAGACGGGGGCCAGTGCGAACGGGGGCTGGCCAGAGCAGAGCGCCGGGTCTTGCAGGATGCTGCGAAGCCAGGGTTGCACTGACCAGGGCTAGCGCGCAGGATCCCGCAGGATTTCGCAGGGTCCTGCACAGCCCGTCACCACCCAGCCAACCACCACAACCCAACCCGAAAGCCCAGATTTACCTTCCATGTCCAGCTGGGGGAGGGCTGGGGAGAACCGACAAAAAGACAACTGGAACCCATCCCTCCCCCCGCATCCCGAAACTTGGGTCTTCGGGTTACAGTGGAGACCCATGCCAAGAAACACCTTGCTTGCCTCCAGGGTGCCCTGGGTTTCTTGGGGTTCGATGGTTTTGCGATGGGAAGCGTGACGTTCCCACACCAAAAATCAATGGACGTAGTTTGACTATTTTTTGCCGGTTTTTGTTCGTCCAAAATCCGCCTGTAGGAGGACATCCCAACCCGATGCAAGCCCGAGGTACTCCACGTTCACCCTCGCCTCCGTCGAGAGGTGGCCGATGACCTGGAAGAGGGGCGGCTGCCCGGTGTACGTGTACGAGAGGCGCCGCCGGGAGGGGCCTCGAGCGTGGCGCCAAGCATCAGAGGGAGCAAGACCGCCCCCGACCCCCACAGTCGGACCGAAGTACGAGGTCGAGGTTGGTTCAGGGAGGCTATCCTCTAGTGCTCTTCGTGTTCGTTGGATGGTCTTGTGCATCCTGGGGAGGGTGCCCTTGGATGTCTTGTGTGTTTTGGCCGACGGAGGGTCTCATGTTCTTGAAGGGTGTTCTTCTGTCGCAGGTCCGACTGCAACCCGACGTTTCTTCGCGGGCGACCAAGGGCTGGGGGGTGATGACTAGGGGTGGGCTATGATGGCTAGGGCCATGACATCTCCGCAGGTGTCATGGCGCCTCGTCTTGGTCCTTCTCTCCTCCAGCACAGGGGGGGAGGCAGGTCGACCGAGCGGCCTGTCGAGAAGGCAGAGGGCTTCCTGGAGGAGGTCCGCTTCCGCGCTCCGCGTCCCTCCGCTAGTGTCCTCCGCAGCCTCCTCCTCGCCCTGCGCCCCCTCTCTGATGGATCGACGTTGCACCACCGCTGCACATGGGGATGAGTGTGTAGAAGGGAAGATGGGGAGGTCCTCCTCCTCCTCCTCCTCCTCCTCCTCCTCCTCCTCCTCCTCCTCCTCCTCCTCCTCCTCCTCCTCCTCCTCCCCCCTCCCCCTCCCCCTCCCCCTCCCCCTCCCCCTCCATCTCTCCCTCCCCCCCTCTCCTACCCATGGTAGGGGGGGTGGAACATCGGCCCATCACTCTCCCCCCTGGCCCCAGCAGGGCCGTCTGGGCACTTTAGTGGGCACCTTGCCCGCACCGTCCCCCAGCTCTTTTGGGGAGCTCTCGGGGGAAGCCGCCCCCACCAGCCAGGCCCTCCCCCCTCGAGGAGGTACCCCCGGATGTCTGTGATGCCTCTGGCGGCAGGGGACCATGAACAAGGGCGCCCTCGAGGGCGCGAAGTTATTCGCGCTTCGCGGTTCGGCTCCGATTCTTCATCCTCTTCTTCTCCCTGAGTGGGCGGCGCGAGAGCGCGAAGTTAGGCGCCGTTGAGGAGGGGACCAGAAGAGAGTCAGAGATCTCGATCTTCGATTCTCCGATCCTTCTCCAGGCCGACGACGCCGATGCATCGCCAACGTCGCCGATGCATCGGCGATGCATCGACCATACGGCGCGATCCTCCGACCCCATCAGCTCTGACCCCATCTGGGAGGCCTCCACATTCGGACAGCGCCCTGCAGGAGAAGTTTGTCCATCATTCCAGAGGGGCAAACAGAATCAATGACACGTCGCCGTCGGGAGCCAGTCAGCGTGTTGCTCCCTCGCTTTTGACCGAAGGCCTGGGGCATCTGCGACGGCAACACGCTGATGGGCTCCCCACGGCCACGCAGGCGACGCAAAAAAGGGGGGTCGTCTGCGCCGACATGGGCGCGTAAGCTGCCCGCGTAAGGTCGCGCGCAAGAGCCCGCTCGTCTCCACTGTGGTGTGCCGCGCTGGCGGCCCGCGTGAGTCACCGCGTAAAGGTGCTTGTCGTCGCTCCCGCGTCACCGATCTTGCCCACTGCTCCCCCAGCGACGTTACACCGCCAGAGCACATCTCTGCCAGGACGAGTCGCTTCGGAGCCGTGCCCCGTCGCGCCATAGGGCCTGCCCCCCCCCCCCCCCCCTTCGGGGGAACGGCGAGCGTGGATGCCCGCCCACCGCCCGCGCGAGCTGGCCTGCAGCAGCTGAGCCCGCGGGAGCCCGCGCTGTCCAACTCGCTGTTCGGGAGGGCGCCCCCGAGGGGAGCGGTGGCCCTGATGATGGGCCTGTTTTCCTCCACCACCACCACCATAGGTTGGAGGGGGAGGCGGTCCTCCTTCTCCTCCTCCTCCTCCTCCTCCTCCTCCTCCTCCTCCTCCTCCTCCTCCTCCTCCTCCTCCTCCTCCTCCTCCTCCCTCCTCCCCCTCCCCCTCCCCCTCCTCCTCCTCCTCCTTCTCCTCCTATACCTCCTCCTCCTCCTCTTCCTCCTCATCCTCAGCCTGAAAGGCTGTGAAGTCGGCGGGCGGCGGGCGAGGGGAGGAGAGGCCCTCTCAGAAGGCGGCGGGTGTCCTCAGAACAGCTCTCGCGGCCTTCCGAGAAGTTTTCCGTGCTATCGGGGACGGGGAGGCCCCGAACATGTTTCGGGTTATGATGTTCCATCCTACTTTAGCCTGAATCACCAGAGAAAGAATTTCGAGCACCAAACAAATAGCGAAACTCCAGGGTTTTCACGTGTCGGGCCCTGGGAGACACTCGCCCGACACTGTTTCGACACTCTTTCGACACTTTTCCGGATGCTCGAAGTTATTTCTGGGATGTGGTCTTGAAGTACGACGGGAGCAACATAATTCTCGGGATGCCAGGGGACTTCCTAAACTCCGCGGCGAGCGAGGGGCAACGAGAGGGCCTTATCAGAAGGCGGCGGGACTCGCGCCGTCCGAGAAGTGTTCCGTGTCATATCGGGGGAGGCCTGGACAATTTTTCGGGAGGCCCAGGGACTTCCGAGCCTTCTGAGAATGCCCGCCCATTCTTGCTTCCCTCCCGGGCTCGCCGCCGATGAAAGTTCCCCGCTCAGCATCAGCACTGCAGGATGGGACCGCTCTGGAGCTCGCGAGGGCCCAACAGGGTCTTTTGTCGCCCCCGCGAGTGCCTCGAGAGCGCTCCTTGGGCTCCCGAACGGCTCGGCGCCGGCAGCTGCTGGCCCTCCAGAAGGGATGCCAGTTTTCTCGAGTCTCGGTCGAGCGGTCTCAGACTGTCGAATTCCTCCTCCTCGTCCTCCTCCTCCTCCTCCTCCTCCTCCTCCTCCTCCTCCTCCTCCTCCGCCTCTTCTTCTCGCGCCAGAATCCTTGGCCTCCCTTCTCCTACTCACATCTCCCTTCTCCTCTCTTCTCCTCCGCCCCTTCCGCAAAGGGACGGGGCTGCAGGGGGGCAGCAGGCCACTCCTAATAGTCGGTCCCGCCGTCAGCCAGTGGTGTCCCCCAGCTGGACCGCGGGAAGAATCCCTCCCGAGGCGAGCGACCCAGAGTCAGCGCATTTCTTTACTCCAGTTGCTTCGCGTGTAGTCCAGCACAGGAACACATATTGGATCACAAGTGGTCTGTGTTGTTCCTCCTCCTCCTCCTCCACCACCACCTCCTCCCTCCTCTCACCTCCTCCTCCTCCCTCCTCCTCCCCCGCCACCGCATGCCACTGTGCAGCAAGCAGGCGGCAGTTGGGGCAGGGCTGATGAGGGAAGCCGGACCTGAGGTGTTTCGGGCGTTTGGGCTGTGGGAGGGGGAGCTCGAGCCTTCCGCCCACTCGGCCAGCGAAGGCTCGAGCAGCGAGGCGGCGAGGACTCCACCAGGGAGCAGGAGTCAGACGCCGAGCTGTTCTCATTGGGGCACCTACCCCGCGTTGAGCGCACACACCCGTTCCATTCCACTCCCCCTCCCCCCCCCCTCCTCCCCGCTGCGGACGCCAGGCTGCGCTGGCACCCGCTCGACCGCCCGCTGCTGCCCGAGCCGTGGGCGTCGGCCCACGCCGCGGCCGCCGAGTCGGGCGAGGCCGCGACGACGATCGGTCCGTCGTCGTCTGGGGCAGCGTGAGGTGGGGGGGATTGGGCTCACCGATTCGCGTACGGCCAGCTCTGCCTGCCGATCGAGCTCAGGTGGGCCCCGGCTCGGCATGAGGTGGTCGAGCTAGCCTTACTTGAGACATCCTCCCATGCCCAAACACATGCATGATTGGGAATGGTGCATCGCCCGACTGCTGGCCAGAGTTCTATGCTGGGACGCTTATGGTGTCAGCATCGGAAGGGTTGTCCTGGTTTTCCCGGGAGGTGTCCGGGGATTTTTTTGGATAGGGTTTTTTCCATTGAACATAGTAACCACAACTGAGTAGATTTGTTGGGAGGGCCCCTCGGGAAAGAACCTGGCGACCTCGACGAGAACACTTTTTGGTTGTGGTCGATTTGGCCGTCCTGGGACGCCACAGCGACCACAACCAGCACCAAGCTGGCCTCGGTGTTCTCACGACTGCTGGCATGGACAAGGTATCCCCGCGGGCGTTTCCTGGATGTGGTTGTGGTCGCTTGCTGTCCCCGCAGGGATGGGGCTCAGGTGTGGGGCTCGAGGCTCGAGGTTTTCGGGTGCTTCCGCTGGCTCTCGATGGTTTTCCAGCCTCGGGGTGCCCTCCAGCGGCTGCGCCTCGGCGAGATGGTCGTTCCGGGGGTAACCAGGCTGTCCCAGACTGCCGCCAGAGACCAGCGCTGTGGCCCAAACGACGCTCGTTCGGGCGAAAGCTGGGCCATCTGCGGGGGCGAGACGATAACCGCGCGGCGCGTGTCGCGGTCTGGACTGGAGCGCCGCCCCTCTCTGGGAGTAACGACGCGAGGCCGCGAGGGAGCGAAGCAGGTCGCGCGTTGGGCGCATCACGGGTCGCGGGGCGCGAAGTGGGGCGACCTCGTCGTCGCCGTTGCCGCCTCCGCCGCCGCCGTCGTCGCCAAACGAGCTGGAGCCAGTCCAGTTTAGAAGCCCTGCGCCAGCCACAGCGCGTGAGCAAGGAGTGAACAAAAATGTGCACGGAAGCGGATGCCTTCAGCACGCCTCCCATGCCCTGGGCGCCTGCTCCCACCTGCGACCTGCAAGTCGCTCATGGGAGCCGGCGACATTCTAGCGATTCTTTAGCACCATGGGCCCCCAAGACTGTCTCGGGCGGCCTCTTCTCCTTCTCCCAAGGAGGCTCTTGAGAGCCAAACCGCCCGGCTCAAACACCGAGCTTCTGACTGGATCCTCGTCTTGCCTTCTGGCTGAAGGGCACATGTACAACATCTGTCTACGCGCGAGACTATCGCTCAGAGGCATCGGTTGGCAAATCTGCAAAACTGTATGAAACTGTATGATTCGACACGCGGCTGATGTATGACGGGGGGATTCTGCAAATTCGTCTGAGACAATAATTCTGAAACCCGTCGAGCCGTCTTCGCTCGGCCTGGTTAAGGCACGCAGTGAATAATACATACGTGAGTTTGGAAACCAACATACGTGAATAATGCCGATAGTGAGTATATTTAACGCTTGCGTGGTTTCCAAGCAAGCTAGGAGCGTGTTCACTTATTGCTTGTGGCATGATCGGTATTATAGCCCCCGGGCCGCCCCTTCCCCCCCCTCCCTATATCGTAACGCCCCTCCCCCCCCAGTGCGCGCCGTGCGCACGGCGGGGGGGAGGCGTTACATTATACCCCCCACCGGCCCCTCCCACCCCCCTCCCTATAATGCCCACTATCGCCGACAAAAGTAAAGAAGCGAGCTCAAGGGAAGCGCTCCAGCAGTTTCGGGGCCTCAGCTGGCCTCTGGAGGCCCTGGGGGCTCTGGGGATCCCTGGAGGCCTCGGGAGGCCCGCAGAGACCGCGGCGATGCCTGGCAGGACAGGGCGATCAGGCTGGACGGCTCCGACCAGCAGCGCCCTGGATCTGAACCGGCGCGGCGGGTTCTTCCAAGTCTGGGTCTCGGGGGGCCCGGGCCGTTTCGGGCCCCAGGTTCCACTTGGCCAAGCACCGTCCCACGACGCAGAACACATACGCACGGAACATCTCGTCGCCAGGGTGTGTCTAGAAGGTGATTCGATCTTCCGTGCCAGTCTGCGCGCCAAAGTTTGACAAGTCATCAGCATGTTGGATCAACCGCTCAGTTGGATATTCGAAGCAAGGGGGAGGGGGACCGCATTGACACTGGAGGAAACACTCGAGCCCGCTTTCACCCTCAACAGCACCCTGAATCCTCCCTCCTCCTCCATGCCCCGCCTCCCCATTCTCCCACTCCCTCTCCCCAAAAACCGGTAGAACTCCCATCCCCGCTCTGACCTCCCAAAACAGGCAAACGTCTCCAATCTTCCCGTCCTCGTCACCTGCCCTCCTCACTTTCCATCCTCCCTCGGACGTCCTCGGGAGACTCAGAAGACCTCCAGCCTGCAAGAAAAACGTCCCAAGCCTCCTCCGAAGCTGAAGAGAGCTTCTCAGAAGGCTAAATGGCCTCATGAGAAGGTCTGCCCCCCTTACTTCCCTTCAGTCGGGCACGTCCCTCTACAGGAGGAATATTCAAACAAAGAAGAATTGTAGTCTGGGGGCGTTGTTCTGAGTATTTTTGAATATTGTTTTGAATATGTGTTGACATGTTTTTATTTTTCGCTCCAAATTCGCGTGTATGGAGGGCATGCCCGACCTAATACTTCCCCCCCTCTTGGCGCGCCGTCGATCTTCGTCGTCCTCTCCCCCACTCTTCCTCGCCCTCCTCTCTTTTTCTGGCGCCTCGCTCGCTTCGCCGCCGCCGACGACGAAGACGACGGCGCCGACATCCACGCGCGCGCGGGGGAGAGGGCGGCACGAGGGGGAGTGCGCGTGGAAGGTGAGGACGAGGGGTGTGGAGAACAAGGGAGGAGAAAGGAGGGGAGGGTGCCGAGTGGGACGATGGGAGAAGGCGATGCGTCGACGAGGGAGAGGAGAGGGAGGGCGGTGGGGCGGAGGGAGGGGGGAGAAGGAGGAGGAGGAGGAGGAGGACGAGGAGGAGGAGGAGGAGGAGGAGAAGGAGGAGGAGGAGGAGGAGGAGGAGGAGGAAGAGGGGGAGGAGGAGGAGGAGGAGGAGGAGTAGGAGGAGGAGGAGGAGGAGGAGGAGGAGGAGGAGGTGGAGGCAGGCGAAGCCGACGACGAGAGGCGACAGAAAAAGACTCATCCTGAGCGCGTCCTGGCCAGGCCTTCCAGGCGGATCTGGCCGTTCCAGACCGGGGCGCCCCTGGATGCCTAGAAAGTGCATCAGAGGCGTCCAGTAATCCTGATCTTGGATCCCTCCTCGGTGATCGAGCGTCGATCGCCGACGACCACGGTGACGGCGGTTGCGGCAAGATCTGGTACCAGGAGGTCTAAGACCGACCAAGCAAAGTCAAACCCTCGATCATGCACTTTCGGACCTCGACGATGACGACGACGGCGGTGGCGATGGAGGTCTGGTCCCCAGAAGTCCCAGGATGGCCAACAACTGTTCCGTGTGAATTCGACGCTCTCCGTGGCCGAAGCAGGCGGCACTGGCTTCATACTTTAGGGGGTATCTTCTCTGATCGGTGAATCTAGCGCCCACGCGCCAGATCCACGGATCCGTAAGCCAATGTCAGCGTGCGCCCGAGAGCAGGAGGAGAGGGAGGGGGACGATAGGGATGAGGAGGAGGATGGAGATGATGATGGTGATGATGATGATGCTGGTGATGCTGCTGGTGATGCTGCTGTTGCTGCTGCTGATGACGGTGATGACTGATGCCGATGCCGATGCCGATGACGATGCTGACGATGATGATGGGAATGCAGATGCTGATGATGATGATGGTGGTGATGATGCTGATGAATATCATGCTAATAATGCTGATGATGATGGTGGTGGTGATGATGCTGATGGCTTTGGTGGAGATGATGATACTGATGACGATGACGACGATGACGAAACGGATGATAATGAGGAGGATGAGGATGAGGATGATGTTGATGATGTTGATGCTGATGCTGCCGATGATGGTGGTAGTGATGATTGTGATGATGGTGGTGGTTACTGCTGATGATTAGGGTGATGACGATGATGGTGGTGACGATGGTGATGGTGATGATGCTGAGGATGATGGTGATCATGATGATGATGATCATGATGATGATGATCATGATGGTGATGATGATGGTGATGATGACGCCGCCGCCGACGACGACGATGATGATGCTATGATGATGATCATGATGATGATGATGATGATGATGCCGAGGATGAGGATGAGGATGTGGATGGCGATACTGATGATGCTGATGATGCTGATGGTGGTGATGATGATGCTGATCGTGATGGTGATGGTGATGGTGATGCGGATGTTGATGCTGTTGCTGTTGCTGCTGCTGCTGCTGGTACTGGTGATGCTGAAGATGCTGCTGCTGATGCTGATGATGGTGATGGTGATGACGATGACGATGACGATGATGATGATGCTGATGCTGATGCTGATGATGATGCTGCTGACGATGATGGTTGTAGTGGTGGTGATGGTGATGACGTTGATGCTGGTGACTATGATAATGATGATGGTAATGAGGACGATGCCGATGATGATGATGTTTACGATGAGGCTGATGATGATGGTGATGATGATGGTGATGCTGCTGATGACGACTATGATGATTGTGATGTGGATAACGATGCTGATAATGCTTATGGTGATGATAGTGATGGTGCTTGTGGTGGTTGTGGTGATGGTGATGATAATAAGGATGCCGTTACTGATGCTGATGCTGATGATGACGATGGTGATGATGATGGTATTGTCGATGATGATGATTATGACGATGGTGATGGTGATGACGCTGATGCTGACGCTGATGCTGATGATGCTGAGTATGCTGCTGCTGATGATGATGATTATAATGGTGGTGGTGGTGATGCTTATGATGATGGCGATGCTGACTATGATGATGCTGATGAGGAGGATGAGGAGGAGAGGGAGGAGGATGATGCTGCTGTTGCTGCTGCTGATGGTGATTATGCTGATGAGGAGGAGGATGTGGATGACGATGATGGTGATGCTGATGCTGATGCTGATGCTGATGCTGAAGCTGCTGTTGCTGGTGCTGATGATGATGACGCTGATGATGATGGTGGTGATGATGATGATGATCATACTGATGATGGTGATGATGCTGATCATGACCATGATCATGATCATGATCATGATGCTGATGATGATAATGATGATGCTGATGATGATGCTGATGATGATGATGCTGGTGATGGTGATGGTGATGGTGGTGTTGGTGATGGTGATGGTGATGGTAATGGTGATGGTGATGGTGATGGTGATGGTGATGGTGATGATAGTGATTCGGAGGAGGAGGAGGAGGAGGAGGAGTAGGAGGAGGAGGGGGAGAGAGAGGTCGGAGGAGGAGAAATGGGAGGAGGAGCAGGAGGAGGAGGAGGAGGAGGAGGAACAGGAGGAGGAGGAGCAGGAGGCGGAGGAGGAGGAGCAGCAGGCAGGCAGGCGAGGGCGACAGCGGCGACGGGAAGCGGCAGACGAGGATCCCCCCGAGGAGGCCGCGCCCGCTGGGGTCGGGGCCGCCTGCCCGCCCACCGCCTGCCTGGTCGGCCGCGCCGCGGCGGTCGCGCTGCTCTTCAGGATGCTGCTCGTCGCCGTTTTCGCCGCCGCCGCCGCTCGTCGCCGTCGTCACCGCCGTCCTCGCGGTCCGGAGAGTCGCTGTTCTGGGCCCCTCTCGTCGTCGTCGTCCTCCTCCTCCTCCTCCTCCTCCTCCTCCTCCTCTCAAGCCATATCGGCTCAGAGCATGTTGCCCTGAGCCAGCCCTCGCCTCCCCGCGGCGCTTGAGGGACACCTGGCGGGGCAGAGGTAGGCGCCTTCGCTCCTCCAGGTTGACTAAGGAGGGCAGACCACCTTCTTGTCTCGAGCCATGGGTAAAAAGAAGTCGAGTGGAGGAGCGGCTCCAGCGCCTGAGACCACCGAGCCACCCGAGATGGGGTGGTCCACATGTCAGCAGTGTGGTCGTCAGGAGTGGAATCGCATTTTGTGGAAGCAGCAGTGCCGGTGTCCGAAGTGCCATACCGTCGTCACGTTGCATCGTCCCAAGGCTTCCAGAGGAGCACAGATGAGCAACACGTCGCACAGCAATCAGTTGGCGCTAGCACCCTCTCCTTCAGGCATGAGATCGGCGAGTTCGTCGAGTACACCGCTGTCGGCTTACAAGCAGGCGCTGAGTGCCACCACCGATCCTGCGCTGAAGGCGATCCTAGAAGCACACATCGGCCAGCTGAAGAGTGACGAGATCTCGCCCGAGAAGTGCGTCGCGCCCGGGGAGTCCCTCAGGCGCGCCACTGCTGCGGTGCGAGATGCTGCCACCAAACATGATCAAGCAGTTTCAGCTCTTCTTCGTACGCGTGAGGTACTGGAGAAGGCCACCGAGCGTGAAGCTACGGCGGCTCTCACCCTCGCCAAGGCGGAGAAGTCCAAGCTCCAGGCCGTGCGAGCCCTCGCCGAGCTGAACGGAGTGGTCGCCAAGGGTCCCAAGGAGGGCCTCGGCAGCGACGGGGGCGACGGCAAGAAGCTCATCTCCATCTCGTGGGACGAAGACTTCTTCGGCACGCTTGACAAGCTCGAGGTCAGCGAGACCGAACGGGCCGACCTCAAGCAGCTGGAGACCGACCTGAAGGGCGTGCGCGACCTGGTTGGCACCAAGTCCTCCGAGGTGGAGCGCATGCTCGCGCGCATGGCGAAGATGAAGGAAGACATCATGGTCCGCTTGGCCAAGAAGAGGAAGGGCCCTGACGGCGTGGCCACGGGCAACCCTGACGGCGGCGGCAGCGGCGGCGAGCCTGGCGGAGCCCGTGCTGGCGACGACGGGCGCACAGCGGAGGCCACGCCCGTCCGTGACGACCAGGCCGACGCCGAGCTCGCCGAGGAGGCGCGGCGGCTGAGCGATGCCAAGCTCGCCGCCGCCCAGGCCGCCCAGGGCGCGGGCCTTGGTGACAAGTGACGTACGCGACGAGGCCTCTCGAGCACGCAGTCTGCAGGGGCATCGACTGCATCGGGATCGGCCTCGACGGGGATTGAGCAGCCTTCGAGCGGTGAGACGCAGATTTTCTTTGCGAATGTCACTCAACTTAGCAAGAAATCGTGGGGGGTTCTCACCAGTAGTAGGGCTGCCAGTTATCACCTTTTTGTTTTAGTGGAGACCCACATGGGGTCCAGTGATGATGTTTCTCGGTGGAAGTCTGAGGTCTCGAAGGCCAAGCTCAAATGTTTTTGGGGCCCCGCCCGCGGCGCGGGAAACAGCGCGACCCAGTCTGGTCAGTCTCGCGCCAACGAGGGGGGCGAGTGCATCCTTGCCAGGAAGCACCGCCCAGTTCACTCACTTGCTCAGACCAACGGGGCCTGGAAGGACCTTGCAGTTGACGGTTCAGCCAGCCTCGATGGTTTCTCTGCTGTAGTTTGCCATCAGAAAGGGTTTTCGTTCATCCTTGTTTCTTTTTACGCCTACCCTGGCGAAGGCTACAGGGGCCGAAACCTTCCTCGGTTTGCTCGGCTCGGCGCGATGCTGCAGCAGTGTCGCCTTCCCTGGGTCGTTATCGGGGACTGGAATCTGCCGCCCGAAACTCTACAGCGTGCAGGCTTCGTTGACAAGGTAGAAGGAGTCATCTACAAGTGCCCGCTGCAGTGCACTTGTTCTCTAGGTTCAGGCACACACATAGACTACGTCTTGGCTAGTAGAACCAGCGTGCCGTTTATTTCCCGACTCGAGGCCCGTGTTGACGTTCCGTGGCGCCCGCGTTGCGGGCTCGCGTTGGTTCTCCGCAGCTCCTGCCAGCAGCTGCTTTGCCGAGAGCTCCGCGTGGCGCCCAAATTGCCACAGGCTCCGATGCCGAAGCAAATGCCACAAGTAAGGTCCAAGTCTAGTATGAAGCGGGCTGCCGACGCTACGAAGCGCATGGCAGCTCGTGTTGCGACGGACGGTTGTTCTCAGGAGTTGCACGGTGACTTAAATGAGGGCGACCCTCAACAAAGCCACCCGTCTCGGCATGTTTTCGGGGACTCGGACGACGAAGGCAGTTTCCTTGGGGCCCCTCTCTCGCTTGCCTCCTCGGTGGGGTCCTCCTCTTCTGGCGGGGCGCGGGGGTCCACGATGTCCGAGTCCCAAGGTTTTGATTTCCACTTTGAGCTCGGTCAAGAAGCCCACGAGCCACCCTTCGAAGTTGAGGCCACCCCAGACCAGCCCGCGACCAGCGACACAGACTGTAGCCCCCCAGGTAGTCGGCCTCCCTCTCCCTCTCCCCCTCCACTCCCGACGTTCCACATCCCCGACGGGTCCTGGGAAGCCGCCAAGCGCGACGTGGGTTACGTTCCAGTGGGGTCTACACATGAAGTCTGGCCAGTTATTCGGGGCTCAGGAGCTTTTCATGTGGGGCGTGAGCATATCACGAGCGCGAGCGCACTCTATTCGCAGTGGGCGCGCACCGTTGAGCATACCATATCTGCACATCACGGAGAACAGGAGCCCAGCCTTTCTCGCTCTCAAGGCCCAGTTTTTCGCGAGCGAGTGTTACACATGCTGGATAAGATTCGGTCAGAACCTTTGCACGGGCAGGTAGCTTGCTGGTGGGGAAGAGTGCATGCGGTACTTCAGAATCTTTGTCAGCACTTGACTAAAGGGAATGGGGAAGTCCAGCGCTCCCGTCTTGCTGCCGCGTGTCGTGCCTTAGCTTGTGATATTCCAGAGTCAGTTCATCTGCCGCTGGCCTCGCTGGACCCCGCTGACGGAGCTTGGTCTCTCTGGCAGTCGCGGTTGTTGCACGTGCAGGATGTCAGCCTTCCGATTTTGCAGACGCCCTGTTCAGTTGCCAAACGAGTCGCTGGACGTGCCAGGCGGAGGGATGTTCAAAGCTCACTCAACGATTTCCGTGAATGGATTTCCTCCCCCGAGGCCTGTGGGGTCTTACATGAAAGCTTGAAGGCCGCCCCCCCCCCCCCCCCCCCCTCCTCCGAGATCGAGGGGGGGGTGGGGTGGGGGGGGGGGGGTGGGGGGGGGGGGGGGGGGCATGATTTTTCACCCTCGGGACGTTTTAGACCACAAGGCCAAGAAATGGCACCAGCTTTGGAGCCCAGGCGACGTCTCACTTGGCTCTTTAGGCCAGTTATTTGATCGCATTCGTGCTGCTGCCGAAGACGACCAGCTGCCTGTTCTCACTTGCGATCGAGTGGAAGCAGCGCTCAAGAGCATGAAGGCACGTGCAGGTCAGGGGGTGGACCAGCTCTCACCTACAGACATGCAGCGGCTTCCACCCGAAGGGCTTCTTCAGCTCGTGCATCTGTTGCAAGCATGTGAGGCTCGGATTACGTGGCCCTGGCACGTCCTGTTGGTCATAGGAAGGTTGCTGGGGAAGAAGTCTGGAGGCGACAGGGTGATCGGGCTGATGGCCATGATCACTAGAGCATGGTCATCAGCTCGTGAAGAAGATGTTCGCCTCTGGACCTCTTCCTCAGAGCCTGCTTGGGATGCCGCGATCCGAGGTAACTCAGCACTTCGTGAGGCTTTCGTTCGAGCCTTACAAGACGAAGCTTGTATGCGTCTGGGGATTGAGTTCGGCACGGGTTTAATTGACGTCGAGGCTTTTTGCGACCCGATGTCTTGGGAAGCTCTTGCTGATACCTCCCTTCGGCTACAGTTTCCAGCTACTGTTCTCGGGTTAGAACTTCAGAATTGCGTCGCCCCGCGCACTCTCGCTCAAGACGGGTGTTTTTCGACCGCCTTCCAGCCTTCGCGGAGCATCGTCCAGGGCATTCGGAGTGGAGTTCGTTTTGGGAGGTGCATGGTTTACTTTATCTTGGCTAAAATCACTACCGCTCACGTGGGGGCTTCCATGAGGATATGGGTTGACGACCTTTACCAGCGGGTGATGGGGTCCAGGAAAGTTGTCCGTGCTCGGCTCTTCGGGTGCCCCCGCGACACTTGTGGCGAGCTCGGCAAGGCAGGGCTGAAAGCAGCCTCCAAGAGTGTTTTAGTTTGCTCGCAGTCTAGCGATGGGAAGCAGATTGCAGCCAAGCTCAAGAAGTTGGGCTACACTGTTCACAATGTTTTACAAGCTCAGTACCTTGGCGTGGACCTCGGTGCTGGCCGTCCTGCTCGCCCCTCACGGCGCAAACGAGTAGCCAAAGCATCTGTTATGACGGGTAAGATCCGCAAGTTTGCACGGGCTTCTCGGCGGTATCAGGTTACTGGGCGTCTGGAGCGAGCAGGGGCCCAAGCAGCAGGCTCGTATGGGCATCAAGTTCATGGGTCTTTTGGATCCCATCGCGTTGGTTTTCGGCGCCGTCTCGGGGCTGCCCTCGGCTCCAAGCAGAAAGGTCGTTGTCTTACTACACTCTTGGACTTGAAGGTTCCAGGAGCGGACCCGTTCGTGAAATTCCCCAGGGACACTATGAAGCTCTGGCTCGACACGTGGCTTAGCTTTCCTGATCTACGTCCGATGGTGCGTCAGGCCTGGCCCCAGGTTGTTCGGTGCCTTCAGAACATCATCCCGTCCCAGTTCGCACGTCAGGTTCGAGGTCCAATGGGTGCTCTTATCGGGTACTTGCTTGAAGTTGGTTGGACCCCCACGTCTCCCACCGAGTGG